CCATGAACACTGCCAGGGGTAATTCCTGAGTGCAGAGCCAGGAGTAACCCCTGTGCATCACCGGGTGTGACCCAAAAAGGAAAAAAGAAAAGTTTATCAACTATTTAAGGTTCAAGTATTGGTCCAGAGTGACAGAACAGAGGGTAGCCCACTTGTCCTGCATGTGGCTGAGCCAGATCCGATCCCCGGCACCCCATCTGCTCCCCCGAACCTGCGAGGAGTGATCCCTGAGTGCAGAGCCAAGTTCAAGCCCTCAGTGTCGCTTTCTGTGGCCCCAACCCCCCACCGCCACCACCACAAAGGCACAAGTAATTGAAATATGAAAAGCGAAGCTGATGTGGCTACATAGATGTTCAGGGATTACCTATCGGCTATCAGCAGAACTACATATAAAATAGCTACATCTGTACAAGCTTAAATTTATTTTAAAATTTCCTTTTAGGGTGAAGGAAGGACTCCTTAGGAAAACCAGCATATTTCTCAACATTAACATGGCCCATCACACACTCATTCTTTATTGTATTTTATTAATTTTTATGGTCTTTCCCACAAAGTTTTATACCTCTTTGAGTGCTTTTAATTTGGTGTTACTGTTTACTGTGGGAGTTGCTATTTAAGAGATCAACTTTTTGTTGCTATAACTCCTTGTCCAGCGTGTTTCTTTTCTCCTCTCCCCAACTTATTTCTCTCCCCCATCCCTTTCTTTTAGGTAACCTCACAATCACGATCACGACCATCCTGTTGTTCGTCGATTGCCTCGAGCAGGACCCAGTAACGTCTCCTTTGTCCTAGCCCTGAGATTTTTTAAAAGGTGCCATATTCAAGGTTCTTTCAGGGTTAGGAGAATGAGACCCATCATTGTTACTGGTATTTGGCATATTGGGTACGCCACGGGGAGTTTGCCAGACTCTGCCATGTGGGCACGTTACATTCGGTAGCCTGCCAGTTTGTCCAAAGTAGGAATGAGATAATAAGATGTTGTGGCCACGCGCTTCCAGGAGCTGGGTTTTATAGTCTCTGAGTCTTGGCTGTTGATGGGATTACACGGCGCCAGGAGGCCAGTTGGTGGGTGTGACCCCTGCCTACTGGAATTTGGAGGATCTGGGTGGAGGATGCTCAGCCCCGATCCGAGCAGGCTTGGAGATCTCAGACCCGGGACCCGCATGCCTTTGTTCCTCTGCCAGTACCTTCATGCATGTGGAGAGTGGTCTCAGCATGGTGGTGGCTGGTTCTGGAGGTCTTCAGCTTAGGTAACCTAATAAGTTCTATTATTAATAACTACTGCTCTGTCTTTCTACTTCATTTTTTCTGTGCATCAACTTACATTTATATTGTTCACATGGGGAAAATCATCCAGCAGTTGCATTTTTTCCTTCTGACTTGCTTCACACTGCATGGCTCTGCCGCTTTCCTTCCAGGGTGCTGCAAATGACCACAGACCATCCTTTTTCCTAGGTGAATAGTAGTCCACTGTATAAATGTATCATGTGAGGGTCAGATTGATAGTAAAGCAGGTAGGACATTTGACTTGCACACAGTCGACCTGATTTCTATCACTAGCATCCCACACAGTCCCCTGAACTTGCCAGTAGTGATTCCTGAGCACAGAGCCAGGAGTAACTCCTGAGCATTGCTGAGTGTGAGTCCCACTATTAATTAATTAATCAGATTTAAAAAATTAATCTTTGGGGTTTTATTTTTTTAAAAAAAGATGTATTGTGTCTTCTTTATCCAGTTATACATCAACAGACACTTCGGTTGCTTCCATATTTTAGCTCTTGTAAATAATACTGCAAATACTTTCAGCAAATAGTAACCTGTCTTCAGCTTAGAACAGAGGACTACGATATACATCTTATTAGGAAGATCTGAAATAATGGGGGACGTTTAAAACTTTGGGGGTAGGTGGGAAAGTGTGATAAGCGTGAGTGAGACTGTCTGATAATGGAAGGAAAGGTTCTGGGGAAGAACCCTTGAGGCTGGGCTAGATCCAGATCTGTCCAGTAGTCCTTTAGTATCTGCTGGATTTCAGCTGTGCAACCAAGAGCCTCTGGTAAGACCCTTCACTAGGGACCAGAACCATGGCACAGCAGCTAGGGTGATCTCCTTATAGGGTGAACCCCATATGGTTCCCTGAACCCCATCAGGAGTGATCCCTGAGTACAGAGCCAGGAGTAAGCCCTGAGCACAGCCAGGTGAGGCTCCCCACCCCCCCCCCCCAAAAAAAAACCAAGTTTCATCATAGATTTGGGAGTCACTGGGAAGAAAAGGTCCAATGCACAGGATCCCTGGTGCTCTCAGGAACAAGGCAGAGATCCCCACCTGGACAGACCCTATCTATCTGCTCCACCTGGGACAGCCTTGGGGCATCTGACAGAGATGACTGGGAAATTCATTTGCTTATTTTGTTTGTTTTGTTTTGGGAATGCACTGGGTAATGCTCAAGGTTTATTGGTTCTGCACTCAGGGATCACTCCAAGCCAGGTTTGGGAACCATATAGGATTTGGGGGATCGAACCCAGGTCAGCCACATGCAAGGCACGCGCCCTACCTGCTGTACTATTGCTCTAGCCCCAGGCCAGGAACTTTTCCATCTTTTCCATCTAATCCTGATAATATGTGAATGAGCAAGTCCACATGACAGTAGACTCAAGAAGCCGAAAAGACAAAGAAAAACAACAGCAAAAACCTTGCTGAAGATCTGACATTGACGTCAACCTCTGGCCAGAGCTCCAGAAACACGGGCTTCCTGAATTTCAGGCACCTCCTTCAACACAGGTTTGCACCATATGAGAAAATAAGAGCAGATGTGTCACACAGGAGCTAGGGGAACAAAAGGTCACAGAGGGCAAAGTCAGCAGTCTGAAATTTAACTTGTTGCCGGCTCTTGCCAAATTCAGCTCTCAGAGAGAGTGAGGACAAGGTCGACAACCCCCTGTCCATGCTGGACTCTTCCTTTGATGCTCCCGGTGATTCTGCTTGAAACTCCCGAAGCCCTTCCTGGGTTGCTATCCTGTCTGGGTTTGCTGCTCTGTTGTTTTCCAGGTTTCTTTCTACCTCTGGCAAGAGCAGCACCTCAATGTTTCACCCTGGTTTCCCCTGGGAGATCCTGGCAGAGACCCAGAGCTCTGCTCTGAGATGCACTCAGGATTCTTTCCCTAATTTTGGGAGTCAAATCATTCATCTGGAGAAATAAAATTTCTGGAAATTTTAACTACCAAAAGGGAAAAATTCCTCTTAACATAAAATAAAAACAACTTTTTAATGCTGACCATGTCTTCAAGTGCTTTTTGGAAGCAAAGTTGATTTAAAATCATTTTTTACTATTAATTTAGAGCCATAAACAAGATTATAGTTCCGTTTGTTCTAAAGATTATCACATCTGGTAATGTTTGGAGGCAAGTAGGCTTAGAGAAAAATGAAAAAAATATACAGGGATCCTTATTTCTCCTTTTGAGTTTTTCAAGGATACTAACATTATTCTCAGGGGGGAAAATTTCTGCAAGATCCCTAGTCATGCTTATTGTGATCCAGAAAAACATGCTCATGAAAGCCAGCTCTCCTAAAAATACCTATCATATATTTTCACACATGTATATTATCCTTATGATTTCCCCATGTAGTCGGCACTCAAAAGGCAAAGGGGCCTTGCTTTCTGTAAGAACACTTACACCCAAAATGATGCCTTTTCCAGAAGTGAAAAGGGTTGAGTCCTGCACAGAAATTCCAATCTAAGTTTCTAGCTAAGGCATAAGTATGAATAAATTTCTGAAGGAATTCTTATCCCCATTTTATAGACAGAATTCACTGTAGCACTGTAGCACTGTGCTCCCGTTGTTCATCGATTTTCTCGAGCGGGCCCAATAACATCTCCATCGTGAGACTTGTTGTTACTGTGTTTGGCATATTGAGTACGTCATGGGGAGCTTGCCAGGCTTTGCCATGTGGGCGAGATACTTTTGGTAGCTTGCCGGGCTCCCCAAGAGGGGCGGAGGAATCGAACCTGGCTCTGCCAGGCTGGCCGCGTACAAGGCAAACGCCCTACCACTGTGCTATTCCTCTGGCCACATTTATTAGTTTTCTTCCCTACTAGGAGATAGTTAGAGAATCTAAATATAAGGGCTCCCAGTATCTTCACTGAAGTTATCTCCTTGGCCAATGACTCAAACCAGCAGACACCTCCACCATTGCCCAAGACTTCCCACTGTACGTGCATCAAAGACTTGCTGGTAGAAAGGTCATTTGAAATATATCCTTTGTCCTTGGCCCCAAAGAAACTAGCCAGGCAGGGAGAAGCGGGGAGAAGGGGGGTGCAGGTAGAAGGACCAGCACGTGAAAAAAGGAAATAAGTAAAAGGGAAAGAACTTGCACTTTTCTGTAGAAATACAGGAATGTCATTTATACCATGGTCGTGAAGAAGGAATGAATCAAGATAGAATGGCAGAGGAAGGCAAGCACTCTAAGATAGAGTTATTGGACTGTGGGTTTTTATAGGAGTCAGCGATTATTTTCTGGAAAGGGACAAATAAGGGACCTTTTAGGATTGGAGGGTTGGGAGATGTCACATGGCCTCTGTCACAATAACCAAATTCTTCACAGATGGCATAAAACAACCAGCATATAAGGTCTGGAAAGATAGTATGGCAGATAGGATGCTTTTCTTGCATGTAACCAACACAGGTGGGATCCCCAAGATCCCATATAGTCACTAGAGTACTGTCAGGAGTGATTTCTGACCATAGAACCAGGAGTAACCTCTGTGCATCACCAGGTTTTACCACCCCACCCCCAATCTCCCAGTATATGAATGAGCTGAGTATGACTATATTTATATATATACACATATAAATATATATATATATAACTCAAAGAGTCATATTTACCAAAAAAGGCCATCAGTCATATTGGTATGTGAGTCTATGTTTGTTGACCCCTGAAATAAATCATAATCACCCAGATTGCAAATCAACCCACCCCAACTTGTCCAGGACTTCCTTGATTTTACTGTTGGGAGTCTCCCATCCTTACCTGTTCCTCTAATCATGAGGGCAGATAGAACATGATAATTGTAGTTGACTTGATTTGTGATTAATGTCTCTGTGTGATTAGGGCTCACAGCACCCTAATTACTCCTTCCTGATTCTTTCCGGGAAAAAAAACAGAATCTGTGAGCCCATACCAGGCACTATGGTGGTGATCTTAGGGCCATCCAGATGGTGCTGGGAACTGAACTCCGGGTGTCCACATGCCTGGTTCCCCAGCCTTAAAAAACACAACGACCTTGGTTTTACTCTGTAGATCCCCCTTCTGAAGGAACCTACAGGTGAAAAATGCTGTCTATAAGCAAAAGAAAGGGCAGATGGCTTCCTCTGCAGGTAGGAATGTGTATTCAACTCTTTCCCCCCTAGGAAGTTTGAGAACATGGTCTCAGGGGCCTTCGAAGAAGAATGATTCAGCACAACAGTAGCATCTGGTCTGAGACGGGACATTGACTGGCTTATGTAGGTGGCTGTTCTACACCATTATTCCTTCATTCCCTCCAGACATGAAGAAGGAAGTGAGGCCTGAACGAGAGCCACAGCTCAATTTCCAGCAGACATAAAGGACAATCAGCAGAGGGAGTAAGAAACACTGGGGCACAGATGTCAGTCTGGGGGAGTTGTTCATGGTCAGCCCTTATCAGCAATTGCTCTGAACAGCCAGGTCTGAAATTTTCCTTTCTAAAGCAACAGGTGTTTGACTTCTGTTCAGAACTGGCAACTGTTTGACCTGAGCAAACAAAAGGTTTGCACTAAAAGGACTCATAGTACTCTCCTTACTTTCTTTAATCAATCTCTTTTTAATTTAGCTTTATAGCCATGGAGGAATTTTCCACTTCATTCTAAATAGTGCTTTCTATCTTCTGGCTGGTTCCCTTCCCAAACAGGTGGGTCTTATTCAATATGTGAAAACCCAAGCTCACCGTGCAGATAACTTGAATTACATGAAAATTCTTAATATTTGTATATGTGGCCTTTTGTACACTTCGGAGTATGTTTGTGAACCATTAGATCCATTAACTGTATGGGCAGCAGTCTCTGTTTTTTTTACCAAATGAAGGGAACTAAGAAATGAAGATAAACATTTTTGTACCTGTAGTGAAATAGTTAGCCTTGTGGTATTATGCAGCAGAAATTGTGGTTCAGATGCAGAAGTATAAGATGTTATTCCAAGCATTGCTTCAATTAACTCTTTTATGTTAAATGATTCTTGAGATGTGTGGCTTTGTAGACCCTCAGTTCCCTTATGTGTGAACTAAGAATATCAATAATTCCTCCCCCATAAAATTGCTATATGCACAAATAAGGTAGTATGTATGAAGTGCTAAGCACAGTTAGTACTTAAGTGCCAGCTATAATGCTATTGTTATGAAACTAACAATTTTACCTCTGTGTTTTTAGTATAATGAAGGAGTGGGCTTCTAACATCTGTTAATTATCAGTTTGTCACATCATGTAGAAAAATAAAAAAGAGGCCTGTGTGCTTGTTCGGTGCGGACCTGATGCCTCTTTTGTGAAGCGGTCTCTGAGATTTCCAGCGTTCACCTTGGCCGACGAAAAACCCAAGGAAGGCGTCAAGACCGAGAACAACGATCATATTAATTTGAAGGTGGCGGGTCAGGATGGTTCTGTGGTGCAGTTTAAGATTAAGAGGCATACACCACTTAGTAAACTAATGAAAGCCTATTGCGAACGACAGGGTTTGTCACTGAGGCAGATCAGATTCCGATTTGAGGGGCAGCCAATCAATGATACAGACACACCTGCACCGTTGGAACTGGAGGACGAAGATTCAATTGATGTTCCAGCAGCAGACAGGAGGCATCTCCTAACGGAGCCCACAACCTTCCTCCAGAACTCAGCTCCTGCAGACCAGGAATACAACCGCAATTCGAAAACCACAATTTGGTTCCACCACATCCTTACTACTACAGTATAGTTTTCTCTATTTTATTTATTTATTTATTTTTGCTTTTTGGGTCACACCCAGCGATGCACAGGGGTTACTCCTGGCTCTGCACTCAGGAATCCTTGGCGGTGCTCGGGGGACCATATGGGATGGTGGGAATCGAACCCAGGTTGGCCGCGTGCAAGGCAAACGCCCTACCCGCTGTGCTATTGCTCCAGCCCCTAGATTTCTCTATTCTTTCATTCTCCCCTTCCATACTCCTTTATTGTACATAAAGTAACTGATGTATGTGCACAAGCATCGCATTTTTTTTAACTAAATGGCTAATAGTATGTTTAGATTGACATCAGATGGAGATGGGATGGGAAAAAAAATATTGGTTCTGTGAAAATACCCCCTTCCTCCATGAGTGGCATACTCATTCAGGTCTTATCTTTATATTCCAGTAAGTTATTTTGCCCTCAATGTTTAACAAAAAAAAAAGAAAACCATAAAAATTCTTGCATACCTTGTTTGATTGGAGAATTTTAATGTTTTTCATTTATCACTATAAAACCAAGGACAATTTTATAACTTTTTTGTACATAGCTGTTACATGTAGGGAAATCTGTCTTTAAGTAGGGATAAATTACTCTGAAAGAAATGAATCCTAGATAGTTTTTCCTTCAAGTCAAGCGTCTTGTTGTTTAAATAAACTTCTTGTTTAAAATGAAATAAATAAATAAATAAGAAAGGAGAGCAGGACTATGTGGGTATAAATACATCACTCCTCCAGATACCCTGGAAAGCAGCAATGAGTTTGGTGGTTATATACACACAGAGGGAACATCTATTTGATAAAACATTTATTTGAGAGAATCAAAAGTGATAGTATGGAGAAACACTACCTATGACCTAACTAGAAGGTGGACATCACCACCATCTTCCTATTCTATACTTAAGAACCAGCTTAGATGTTAAGCCATTCAACACTAAAATCAGACAGGCAGCTTGCTCATCTAAAAGGAGAGTATCCAGTAAGTTTTTAACTTATATCACTGGCATTTTCATTGTGCAAACGGTGGTTGTGGAATTGTCAAAGATGATAAAATATTGACTTCATGAAAGAACATGTTGATGCTAAAAATCAACTTTGGGAGGAACTTTGGGAGAAAATGTTGTCTCTCTTCAAAGATACACATATTTACACTAGGTAGACCTATACTAGATAGTACTTCAAATGATGGTGATTTCAAAATGGAATTCTACACCCACAAATTATACCTGTAAAGGATAAAGTAATAGGAGGGTTTAATGGCAGTATTAATTTAATATAGGTTTTATTGAACCTTAAGCACCTCCCACTTTCCAGGTTCTATACCACATATTGGGAGACAGAAACTTTTGTTAAATGCTGTTGTCCTAATGGAGCCCACAAGCTCACAGTATAGTTCATGGTTTTGGTGTGAAGTACACAATTTGAATGCAGTTTCAGTGCTACCAAAACCCAGTTTCTCTAAGATGGAATTTTGCATGGGACACTATAGAATCTCTCCCTCTCTCTCTCTTTCTCTCTCTGTCTCTCTCTCAGACACACACACACACACACACATACACACACAAGGGGATAGCTGAGTTGAGTTTTGAGGAATGTTTAGAAGCATAGGGAAGAAGTGCAGATATGAAGGAGATTCCATTCTGAATGGAATTCTATAAATGCTCAGAGTGTAAGTTTGAAACAATGAGAGAGTCACTAAAATGGAATTTTCATTACACAGTGAAGAGAAATGGGGGCTGGCGAGTAGAATGAGGCTAAACTAAACTGTGGTGATCAGAGCCTTGAATGATGGCGTGGTTTATGGGTTTAGATGTTACGCTGGAGGCTAAAAGGACACCACAAAAGAATACGAATCAAGGAAATTAAGGGTCTAAGTTCTATTTTGATCCATGGCATCATATAAGTAACTTTATAGGGGGCAGATTTGGCTAAGTGGTAAAGCACATGTCTTGTATGTAGAGAAATAAAAAGGAGAAAACAGGTTGTTAAATCAAAACTGAAAACAACACCAGTGACATAAATCTAAAGGAGATGAGAAATGAGCCAGGAGGTGATAAAAAGATAAAGGGGAAGTAGATTCAACTGTTCATTAGGTGATAGAATTTATGTGATTTTTCTATGGGTTGGGTATGAAATTATGAAAGGACCTAATTCCAGTATTAATGGTAACATGCAAATAATGTTGATAGTTGAAAACAAAAGAATAGGTTAGATAATCCAGGAAGAGAAGGTGGTAAAAGTTGAAAAGGAGAAAGCATGAAGAGCAAGCCAAGAAAGAAGAGGAAAATAAATAGAGAAGTAAGAAATAAGTCAGGAAAAAGTCACCATAAAAAATCAAGAAAAGTTTCATAGGAAGTTAATAGAGTTTAATAATTGGACTTAGAAGCCAAAACCCAACTCTTGATCATGTCAAGAGTAGTATTGCAGGGAGGTGGAGACATGGGCCAAGTTGCAGTGGGTTGAGGGGTGAGTGGGAGGTAAGGAATTGGAGACAGAACTTTGGCTGCTTTCTCAAGAGACTGGATTGTGAAGGAGACAACAGATAGCTGGATCGAAAGGAATTATTTTTAAGAAATTAAGAGACCTGAACATGTTTATTTGGAAAGAGGCGGAGGCAATCAGAGAGGGGACAATTAAGAGAGAGGCTGAATATAGAAAAATATTCCTGGCAATAGTCATGATGCCCTTTAAAGAGTCGAACTCTTTACCCCATTAAAGCAGATTGGTTTTGAGGGATGCTTCCTGGCTGAACCCAAAGATACAGGCTGAATCCTTCCGACTCTTGGATTCTTCAGTATGACAGATATTTCTTGATATTTTCCTACTTGGTGTTGCTATATTGCAGAAGGAACATTCACAGAGATTGAAGTTACCTGAAGGGTGGAAACATCCAGTTCTGCAGCAGGGGCTATTGACCAACTGGATACCCCCAAACACCAACCCCTTTGATGAAAACCTGAAAGTTCTTGTGTAGAGATGCTTGTCAGGCCAGCCTTATCAACCTTCCCATGCTACCTGGGGAAAATTCTAGGCAATGGCATGTTTCCTTACCTATTAAAGCAATATTTGGATTCAAAGTCTGCCTGATATTTTAAGTCAACTCAATTCAATTAGTTAAAAACCCATCAAGTGTGCTAAGATCATTTGATGACAGGA